ATATTTTTGTCCAAATATCTAATACTATTTTTATTTAATTTGAAATTTAAGTTTACCAATATTTATCGGAAGAAGTCATATTTTATATAAAACTCACCTATTTTATAGTGTTTGAAGACATATTTTACCCTATCTTGGAAAATGATGTCCGAAAAGAATTTTAAAACAATCCTTATTAATTATTTACTCTGTATTAGTTTTAAAAAAATATAAATTTTAAAATTAAAATTATAACTTTTTGAAATATACTTAAATCTCTTATTGATAAAGAGTTTATTCTTAAACACATGGCACACTACACTAAATAAAAATAGGGTGTACTACAGAGTACGAAGTAATGATTTTCACTGAATGTATTATGTATGTTGATGCCAACATTAAAACTTACGGAGTATAGAAACTAAAGCTAATTTTCACAATAATCATCCCTCCATCTCTTAATTCCTTGCCATGTCCAGTTTTCAGTTAGGGTATTTTAGACAAATTTATCCCATAGTCAAATTCCTTTAAAATTGAGAACATGTTAGAATTAGAAGATTTAAAATATCAAAACACCGATTCTCGTCATACTTCTTGATTTTATAGTTTTTTAAGCCAACAATGGATTCTATTCCTGTAAAAAAATTGATAACAATTAGGGTCCGTTTGGTATGTGGAATTGACAGAATTAGAATTGAATTAGAATTGAAATTTCATGGGATTCAATTTCATAGAATTGAATTCTGCCAATTCCAATTCATTTTTTACACTATCAATTCCAAATCTACATAATTTTTGAGCTACCAAACACCGGAATTGGATTTGAAGCCCTCAATTCCAATTCCATGGTTTGAATTCCATGTACCAAATGGGGTCTTATAGAAAAATAAATATGCATATGATAGCACAAAATATGCACCATTCTTGAAGTGGAAAATATGCATTGAATGAGGAAAAGGGAATACCCTTCCTTAGACATATACCATGTGAATAAATGTATACGGAGTATGAATTATTGTAGCTATTATTAGGTTATTTGGACTGTTGTGAATCTATGTATCTATATGAATTGTTTCAAGTTTTGGACCGGAGCTACTCAATATTGGCGGGAAACAACATAATCTATTTTATTTTCTTTATATATATAGTAGGATTATTAAGGTGATATAATAATGTCTATATGGAAATAATAATAATAATAATAATAAATACATGCTAATAATAATAAGGAGAATAATGCCACAATTACAAAGTATAATTATTATAATAAATGCTAATAATTCTAAATTAACTCACATATACGATCTAACTAGTTTTTACCCCGTGATTCGCACGGGCTCACATATTTTTATATAAAATATATCTATATGTTAACATAGGTATTTTATGTTAACATTTTGTATGTTTGTTAAAAGTTCAATTAATATATAAACATAATATGAATTAAAATTTAGTTTAATTTGTTTTAATTTTTTAATAATAATAATATGATATGCATTTTAATTTGTTTTTTAAAATTTGGATATGATATCTTATAGTAGCAAGATTATTAGATACAATATTTTTTGAAATAAAATTTGTATTTTAACAATGATTTCTCTGCTCTAAAATTTGTATAATTACTATTTTTGAGAGGTAATAAAAAGAAAAAAATGGTGAATAGTTTGAAAGCTTAATTTTTTTTGAATTTTAAACTCGTTAAATGAATATTTATATAATACTAAAAAAATGAAAAGGTTTATGCAAAAACATTAGCCATTGAATATAACAATATATATTTTAACTTTGTTGTGTGCATATACATATACTGTATGTTTTAACTACTAAATATGATATTTTTAATAGTAGATACAATGAATAAATATATAAGAAATGAAATACAATTTTAACTAATGCTTATGCAATAGTTTTAAAATAAAATTATAATTTTAATAATGACACAAATATACTACTCCCTCCGTCCAACAAAAAAGTTCTCATTTTGACCATAAATTGGTCAAACAGTTACAAACTTTGACCATAAATTAAATATAATCTAAATAAAGAAATGCTAGAAAAATTGAGATATCAAAACTAGACCCTAAGATGAATCCAATTATATTAAATTTATTTTATAATTCAATATACCTTTCTCACAATTTGTAGTCAAAGCGTGTAAATATTTGATTAGATACTATTCAAAATGGGAACTTTTATGTGGGACGGAAATCCGGCGCACGAAAACGAGACAACCAAAGTGGTCTTCCCCTTCAAATCCCTAGACTCAAATCTGACGCACAAAAATGCATCTCATCGCGTCGGGATTCGCGACTCCCATTTCTAAATGTCCTTTTCGTCGACGGTAACACCAAAATCTACCACACATCCGAATTTACGGTTCCGTTTCCAATCCAGGTCTACCCCTTACTTGAAAATAAATATATATTACCCTCCCCATAATATTTTCTCTAACAAAAAATATTTGTTTAAAAACGAATTTCTAAAAGTCAAATTAATTTTTTATCTTTTAAGAAACGGAATTTAAAGTGGCTTTGTAAAAGCCGAGATAGGTCTTTCTAATTTTTTTAATGAAAGGTTTAAAAACGGATTTGCAAAAGCCAAAACATTTTTGTTTAAACTTTTCTTAAAAAAGGCTTTAAAACAGCTTTGCAAAAGCCAAACTAATTAAAAAAACGGCTTTGGTAATGCGATTTCCAACTTAAGAAATCCATGTCCAGATTCTTCCTGGGGAATTTAGCATCTCATTGCATCACGATTCAAGGCTCCCATTTCTAAATGCTCTTTTCATCGATCGCGGGTAACATCAAAATCTACCGCACATCCAAATTTACGGTTCTGATTCCAATCCAGGTCTACCCCTTCAAGGTTAGGATTTCTTTTTCTTTCTTTTTAAACACTACCTCCGTCTCTGAGTATTTGTCCACTTTTGATTTTTTTCGGTCAACTATTTTCAACTTTTGACCTATAATTAAATAAAATATATATTATATGTTAATTAAATAAAAATACATTTTAAAAATATTTTGTATAATAAATCTAATGAAAATATTTTTGTATCAATATCTAATATCATTTGTTTTTAGTTTGAAGTCAAAATTTACAAATTTAGACAAATAAAAATAGACAAATAATGAGGGAAGTAGGTCACAATTTTTCTTTTTTTTTTTGGCAATCGAGTGACCTCTTAATTTTTCTTTACGGTTCCGTTTCCAATCCAGGTCTTCCAGTTCAAGGTTAGGGTTTCTTCTTCTTCTTCTCTTCTTCTTAAATATAATCACAACTGGAATTTTTTTTCTATTGGCAATCGAGTGACCTCTTAATTTACTGTTATCTTTTGTTTTAAAAAAGTAATTCTGCTATTTCTTCGAATTCGTTGGAAACAGGCTTGATTTCCATTGTTCTCTCTACGATGGGTTCCGGGTCCATAGACGAAATGGGTGTTGAGTTAGGGCCTCCATCACGCATGGATGTTCAAGAGTCAGGCTCTTCGGGGATTGATGATGCTGATTCACGGTCTTCTTCTGAGATGAATGGTATGCCAGAGTATCCGTCAAAGAAGCAAAAAATTGGTGAAGATGGGATGGATCCCAGGCTTTCCTCTTGGAACAATATACCCTTGTTTTTCGAGTCCATGGAAGTTGAGTTGGGGTCTCAATGCATGGATGTTCTAGAGTAACTGCATGCTCCGAGCTGTATTCATCGAGAAACGACTTTGAGATGGTTGTAGTTGCAAAGATGAACCAATTGGCCAATTACGAAGTGTTTTTCAATCACTTTTTGTCGGGATTCCCCACTCCATGTCTTGTAGTACCATTCGAAGACTCGGAGCGCCGTGACTTTATATGCAAATACCTTGACCTCCATGCATGCTATGACATAGGATGTCTCATTTTGGAGAAGGATACGGATACCAAGAGAAACATTTTGTTTTGTGAGAGTCCTTACTTTGCACT